TATATATATATATATATATATATATATACACACACACACACACACATATATGTACATATATATATATACATACACACATATATATGTATATATAATGTATATATATTATAGTGACATATATATATAAGGAGCCGAGTACTTAAGGAACAGATTGGTCAGTTAGGTTATCCAGCTTCCTTGGTAGCTTCCTCTTTCTTCTCACTATGCAATCCCAGTCACCCAAAGAAACATATTTTTTTCTTTTTATCTTTTGATTTTGAGACAATGCCTAGAACTTTCTATGCAGCCCAGGCTGGCCTTGAACTTGAGATTCTCCTGCCTCTACCTCCCAAGTACCAGGATAATAGGCATATATTACCATAGTCAGTGAAGAAATATAGTGTTTTCTTGTTTGTTTATTTGGTTTTGTTTTTCTGAGATAGTCTCTCTTGTAGCCCAGGCTGGCCTTCAACTTGTGGCAAGCCCCCTGCCTCTGTCTTTGAAGTAGGTATATATGTTTTCAAAGAAAACCAGGACCAAGCCTGAGTATATATATGATGGACCTATGCTCTGATTGGCCTTCCTTGTTGGAGCCCAGCTTTGGGAGGATAGTTTTTATTAAAGGGGGATACTAAGTTTGGCTGTGCACAAGAGGACAAAGATGAACACAAACACCCCAGAACGGCTCTGTGGTAAATTCCATGGCTTGGCCCTTTCACACTCCCTTTTTGGAAATGAAGCAAGAATCTATCTTTGGGCCCAAAGTTATACCCTTAGGATTCAGCTGGAATGGAAGTGCTGAGGGGGTGAGACAAGGGGCATTATTGGATCAGGTTTAGGCTTTCTCTCCTGGACAACAGATCCACCAGTGAGCCTTTCTTGGCTCCCACCCTTCCACCCTCCCACTTCTCATACAGTGAGTGTCCTGGGTGGTATTTGTGGATCAGTGTCCACAGGTGCACATGCAGGGTCACCCCCAGGGTCCTGCAGCAGGGGAGGCGGCTCCTCTAGTTCTCCCAAGCAATTCCTGACCAAGACCACCCACCACACTGTTACAGCAATGCTACCGACAAGGGAAGCCATGCATTGAGAGCCGGGGATTAAGTGGGTAACGGCTCCAACGGTCGCGTGTTCTGATAACCATCCTCTCCCTTTAAGCATCACCTTTGTGGAGTATATGCCACCACAAAGCTCCATGCTTGACACTTCACCATAACTTATTAACACACATCCACTCTTTCTTCTATCTTTGAGACTTCATCAGATGTGATCTCGGGCAAAGTACTAAGCCTGCGTCACAAATACCTAATGTTTAAATGGGGCAATTTTATGAAGCTGTTGTTAAGTATTATGTAAGATGTTTAAACATATCTAGCACAGTGCCTGGCACACTGGGTCTCAAGAATGCTTCCTGCCCCTTATTCCTTTCTCCAGAAACTTGGTCATACTGTTTCTGGATAGTCAAGCTCACAGGGTCAGATATCTTATCTTTGGTTTGGAGGTCTCACTGATCTTGGTACCCCTTGGGCTCTGTGGTCTTACAAGCAGTTCCAGTCTCCCCTAAAGTCCAGCTTGAAGCCAACTGGGCGATCATTCAGAAGAGACATTCTAAAGGGGGCAGCGTGAGAACTGGAATGAACAAAGGCCACAGCCCCATAGAGTCCCCATCCCTTTCCACTATGTCGAGGGGAGATGTGAGGGCACGCTGAGTCCCTCAGGAGGTTAGTGCCAAAGTCCTTGGAGCTATGATGCTACAAATGGATTCCATTTCTCCAGTCAAAGGTTCTCTCTAGTCATCTCTGGGGCACAGACTGAAATCACTTGGGGTTCACCAACACCACTGAGAAAGTCCCTGAGATTCCCAGATGTTCTCTCATGGAGTCAAGTCCAAAGACTACCCTGATGCCACTCTACTTACACAGAAGGCCTCTCTGGGAGCCTGGGGCTGTGCAAGGCAGAAAGTGCAGAGCGCCCTGGGCGTCTCCCTCCGTGCCCGTCCCACGAGTAGAGGCAGCGGTCACTGGGGTGCATCTACTTGCACAGGGGCCCCGTGGGGGCGGCTCCCACACCAGCATCCGAGTCTGGGACCGCAGACCCGCCCCTCAGGGTGACGGCGGGGTCCCACCGCCCCCGCCCTCGCTTACCGAGACAGTCCGCGTGCGGGACGCGGGTCCGAGGCCAGCGGACTCTACGCCGCGGGCCCGCGCTGCCCACGGCCGCTCCGGAGCCGACGTGCTGGGCCGAGCACCGGGAGCGGGCGGCGCGGGCGGCGCGACAGGCTGAGGCGGCGGCAGCGGCGCGCGCCCGGAACCCGCCTACCCCACGCGGACAGACCCGGGCCAGTGGGACCCCG